GGTGTATAGATAATGAATGGAATGGAATTTGAATACTGAGCACATAACTCCATCTTGGTTCCCTTTCTCCTAAATGTCCCTGTTCAGATGCTCCAAAACACACGACCATCCTGAAAGGAGAAGAGCAGCAGCACCCCAACGGGACTCGTTCTGTGACGCTGAGCTGCAGCGCTCAGTCTCACCCTAAAGTCGACCGGTACTCCTGGTACAAGAACACATATGAGTCTAAAGGGTATTTACCTCTACCCAGCAGTCCAACCTTGACAGTGTTCTCACACCAGAAAGGAGAGTACTACTGCACTGCTGAAAACAAAATAGGCAAAAAATCGTCGGAGTCAATCAGGCTGTTTGATGGTGAGTGAATCTGAAAGCCACAAGACTGTATTGTTTTTCCCCTTTGACAAAATCGAAGCATTGTGAAACTACACCACTCGCTAACCGACCTGTTTGTGTGCTGAACCGCTGTCTCTTCCTACCACAGACACACTTAAGAAGGCCGTGACGTACTTCCTGTTGATTTGCGTTATTTTGTTTATTTCTCTCTTCATTTTCTTTTTGTACAGGTACAGTATAGATGAATTATTAAACATTTTTACAGAAGATTTGTCATGCGTCACCGACATGTATAACCACCGTCCTGTCACTTTTTGTTTCCAGACACAGGAGGAACAAGTCAATTCAGCGAGGAACTATACAGCCCTCTTGTGGTTTTCTGGTGATGGCTCATATGTGCAACCTTTTCTACTTCTGTGTTGAACAAGTTTAGACCAAAAAAAATGACACATCTCTGTGTGTGTGTGAACTAATGCAGGGTTGGCGGAACAGTGTGGAGAGGAGGAACCTGATGAACGAGGCTGCTTTGGCAGAGCCTTTCAGGAGCAGGGATGACCTCTTGCCAGAACAGCCGTGCCGTCCAAATGCCCAACGCTGCCAGCCTCGTCCAGACAGCACGTAAGACGGCAGCCGCACACACTGTCCCCACCCGGGGACAAGGGGCGCTCTGTTGGACCGGATGCTGCCGCTCATTCTTTAGTCAAAGCATCCATTTGAGATTGTTCAAATGCAAATGGCACAACGAGAGCCCGCCCTGTTACTTATTCTGCTCACTCGCTTCACGTTTTTTTAACTCTCATCATCGTTGTTGCTTCTCAGGCCTCCGTCCAACGTTAACATCGTTTACGCCACCGTGAACCTGCCCAGTGGGAAACAGGTGAGTCAAGCAACTCCAAACAAGCTTCCAAACATCCAAATTTTAAAAAGAAATTAAAAACAACAACAAATGAAAGCTATTGTTTGTGAGAGACTTTAATAAAAATCACAGTGTGAGAAGTAACATTTTATATGCCTTGGTCTTTATTAAAGAGTCAATCAACCCATTTTACTCACATCATGTGGAACACTTTGTCTATTAAAACAGTCATAAAACTGTCTGCTGTGGCTCTGGAGAAAATAACTGGTGAAGGTTTGAGGTTTTATCTCAGCTTTGGCTACGAAAGTTCACATTTATAGCAGAAAAAAAGGCTGGAAACGTGTGTGTGGGAAAGATGTGGGTAGTGAGCAGGAAAAAGTGGTGTAAAGATGTAAGATTCAAAATGCTTTTAACCCTTTGAAATACTTGGAGAATGAAAATTTCAACCCGAGGGTGTTATTGAAGGATATTTCAAGATATTATTTTTAAAAAAGGTTACCATATATGGTAATTGGCCCGTCTATGGTTTTAAAAAAAAGGGGGAATTTATAATAAATAAAAGAAAAACTTTTATTTAGAAACATTTCAGTTTGAGGTAATGATACACAACCAGTAGCAAAGTATTTATAAAGTTCTTGGCAAGTTCATTTAATCACATTTTTCTTGGTTTTGGCACTAATCTCAACAAATAAATCAAAGTAGAGTTCAATGCAAACCAGTACCAGCGCGTTTATAATGTGCCTGGAACATTTATTTAGTGACATTTTTTTTTTTTTTAGGTAGCATATTGGCACTGATATAAAAACTAAATCAAAGTGCACATGGTTGGCACAGGGCGGACATGTTGAAGGAAGTTACCAAATATGGTCACGTGCCCCATAAAGGCTCAACCATTGTTTCTGCAGGTATATTGAGGATATTCCCGCCTCTTTTTAAACCTGTTTCATCCAAATCACTAAAAAAAAATCATTCAATTTCAAACACTAGACAACGGTAAAACTGCAAATTTGAGACACTGATTCATTTATATTTCCTTGTCAGTGAGCAAAGTGAATCGCTGGTTTTATGGAGCCAAACGGTTGGACAGTTCTTAAGACAAATTTGAGAACAAAAAGATAAAATTGGAATATGAAAGCTGAAGTACCGCTCCGGAACGCTGTGAAAATCACATCATAGCCAAACTACAAATAGGGAAGTGAAACTACCTTTGAAATACAAATGAAACTGCCATTGTTTGTTTTTTGGAATTTCTTCATTTCTTTGGGATTTACTCAATAATAATAATAAATACAGATATACCTTTACATACATATTTACCGTAGCTGGAAAATATCCCACCTTTTTAAATTATCCCTTTTTTATTCAAAGCCCCAAAATGCAAAAATGAGTTGTTTTTGGTTTATTTTTTTTATTTTTTTTTAAATGTTGCACATGAAAACAAGATAATCAGATTTAACAGCACCTTTGAGGACGTCAGCAGCTTAATGTCATTTTAAATGGAAAAACTAAACAAGCACTTGGACGGCACACAGTTAATGTGCAGTCTTTTAATTAAAATGTGCCCCAAAAATACAACAGGTTCTACCAACGCCAGTGTTCTTCTGATTGACTCGGTCTCCATTATACACCACCGGATGAGTCTTCGGCGGATCAAGCTGGTGCTTTTCCCTCTGTGTGCTGTAGCTGTGTCCTCTCAGTGCATATGTACTGTGGAGGAAGGGCATCAATGGACAACCTGCAGCCTCCATTTGAAAGCATGAATGAGCTGATTCACTTATTTCTGTATCTTCTGTCTGCATCCGCTCAGGCTCCCTCTGCACCGAAGCCGAGGCAGCAGCATGAGGAAGACACGCAGAACGATTCCCTCAACTATGTTTCTTTACACTTTGGGAATAAGGACAAGTAAGAATTTATGTTTTGCATGAAACTGGAGGTCAAGAAACGTGTCATTACAAAGCAGACTTACTGATGGTTTGTTTTGTTAGGAAACCGGACGAGACTGTGGTTGTGTATGCGCAGGTGTCCAAGAACAAGGCATCTGCCGAGGTCAAAAACTTTGCTGAACCACATTCTTTCCATGCATCATGTTCTTTTTATTGCATTATGGTACATTTTTCTTTCTGTGTAACAAGCACAACTTCAAGTCCTCACAGCAATCAAATGCAGGCTTTATATGGATTTTGCTGGAACTATAACAGAAACAATCTTTCTCTGCTACCTTTGAGAAACAGATGGAAAGACGGGCGGACTACGAGAACATCACGGCGGTTAATGCGGCCAATCTTCCAAATCTATCCGACTCCGACTCTGACACCAGTGACGATGAAACGGAAGTCAACTACTCTCAAGTGAACTTTAAGCCAGCGCCTGGACACCGGAGGGACAGCAGCAGCAGCAGCAGCGACTCGTCCACCAGCTCGGAAGAAGACGAGACTCAGTACTCTCAGGTCAAAGTCTGACATCGCAGCTGAACTCTGGACTTGCTCGAGAGTTTTTTTTTTTTTTTTCGAGATGTTTTACCGTCTAATCCAAAATGCTTCTTCACTTCTGACTGAATGGTCAAAGACTGTCAGCATTCACAGCACGAACATGTTGGATTTAACTAAAATGAACAACTATGGGAGGCTGAATGAGGGTTTTATTACATCTTCAGGCTTGTTTTTTTTATTTTATATATATGTATTTTAATTACTAGCAGCATTTCCTCATGTACATTATTTAAACTATCCCTGCTTTGGTGTATTTGTATATAACTATGTTGGTTAACTTGGTTCGAAGAGCCTATTATCCAACTGTTTGTATTTGTTTTGTGATATTTTTGATCAGTTACAGCTGTTTTTATCAGATTTGGAATTTTTTAAAGTGTATATGGACAGTTATATATATATTTTTTCAACATAAATGTATGATTTTAACATTTCTTTTATTTGAGCTGATCTATTATAGGCTCCCTAACAGATCAATAGATTAAGTACCCTAATCTGATACTTATGCTAAGTTTTTTTTTAAATTTTATTATTATTTTTTGCCTGGGACACAAAAAAGTAGATGGCAACATCCCACTTGTGGATCTATTATAGGCTCAAGTGGGATGTTCGCCACCTTAAGTTGTATTTTTTTGTGTCAAAGTTCCTGTCGAGCTGCACCTTGAGGTCAAATGCGAGTCAATCATGTGGGTCGTAAACTCCCTGCTGTTCATTGTTTTGGTTTGACATTTTTGAACGTTTGGTCTTCTCTGCTCAGAATAAGTTCGCTGCTGTCCTCAAATGAGTATCCCTCAAGAACCCAAACTATCCCTCTCATTGACCTCCCGACCAGTCAGTCAGAACTGAAGAAACCTAACAGGAGGTTAGACGTCTTCAACAAACTCAAGCTTGTCAAGCTGCTGTAATGGTAGCTTTTGCATATGCCTCGCCTGTGTACGTTTACGCTGCAAGCACCAAACAGAACCCAGCACATCCAAACTATGAATTTGATCAAACATTTTGGGGAGATGTGCAGACAAAGCTGAGAAAACGACATGTTGTAAAGCTGTGCTGCAATCACTCGGCTAAGACTTGCTTAAAGCATACAGTGCCATCAATATGTTATAAATATATGCAAAGCAGTATATATGGTTCCATTTAACTTTAGCCAACTTAACAGCAGGAAGAATTACTATATTTTTTTTTGTGCAATTGTACTGTATTTATGTATTTAAAAGAAGAAAAAAAAAACCCTACGAAGTTAATAAAAAGTGAACAATTATCCCCGTGTACCTGCTTCTTTCACTCTGATTTTAGATAAAGAGCGAGAATCATAAGTCAAAAGTTAGCATTGAAATATTAAATATGAACAGTATTTATCGAAGGTAGTCAACCACATATAGCTATGAGAGAAGATTCACACAATGCAATCCGGTTATAGATTCAACCTCAGCATACAGATTTATTGTGATATCTGTATTATGAGGTAGCTACCTAGCGCATGTCTTTTAAAATCATTGTATGGTGTTTGTTTTTTTTTTTGTTTTTCAATGAAGAGAATCAAGAAGAACCTACAGAGGAGAGTGACATACCCCTTTTTCCACCAAACCGGTTCCAGTGCTAGTTCCATGCCAGTGCCTGACACCAGTTCTTTGTCTTTCCACCGCCTAAGCACCGGCTCCAGGCTCTCAAAACTGGTGCTTAGCAAGCGCCAACTCTTTGCTGGGCCAGAGCTTAGTACCGAGTACGTCAGGGGGCTGGGGGCGGGGTTATCGTGACCACCGAGTCCAATGAATGAATGGGACACACAAGCGGTGATTTGTGTTGTTTTTCGCCAGGACGTCTGATCACAGATTTATTGGAATGAGTCCCGGGACACACGGAAGTTTTGCACAAACTGTTGCGCCCTGAAAGCCGGTACGACTGTGTGGAAAACAGCACTTTTATAGCTTTGGTATACTGCGATATTTACACTTAGAAATGCGGTCAACAGCAGCTACCACAGCCTGAAATGTGGGGCGTTCGGGGAACGTCGTACATTGAGTCTATCAATTAGAAAATGTTCAGCGGGTCATATGTTTTGCCTGTGACAAGGTGAGAAGTGTGAACAAATCAGAAAGTTGGTCGCACCGGTAAAAAAAAAAAGTTAGTCTGGAGTCCTGTGTGGACCTCCGTGTGGTAAACGGCTACGTATGGCATGGCTCTAATTTGGCTCCTTGCTGATGGAAAAGCAACCAGTTCTTAGATTGGAACCAACTAAGCACCGGCACAGAACTAGCACCTGGTTCTTCTTGGTGGAAAAGGGGTAACAGAGTCAACAGTCAAAACCAGGACTGGAAACCACATTTGTGTAGCATTTATCTGAAGTAAGATGTCGTCCACACGCTTTAAAACATTTTCTGCTCAGAATTCCCAGTCGGGCATCTCGTGACAGCTAAAAACTAAACATAACAAAGTCCACAATCCCGTGTTTCTACTATAAAGTTAAGCAATCACCGTTTCAGTCACCCGTCCCCTTCGATTATTGGCATCTTGTCCTAAATGAGTATCTGCTGGTGTTTCTTCTACCTTTGCATCTCCTCCGTTACTTCCTTTGCTGTGCAGGCGGATCTCAGCTGACTCAGCCGATTTTGCAGTCGGGCCTTTTGAGCTCACCTTCCACAAGCTTACCATCTGAACCAGCCTGGAGTTTTAGCCAGCCTTGTTTCCTCCTCCCTCCTCCAGAGTTACCTTATTGGCACAAATCACATCCACTTGTGAGGAGTTGGTTTATAGAAAACCAGAGTAATCGGCTTCAGAAACAGAAGAAAAGCATGAGTTCGCTTTATCGACTTGGAACTACTCCAATAACACATGTTTTAAAAAATAAAAACACTTAAAAATGCAGGGAAACAAATGTATTACCAACATGTCATCATGTTAGCTCGCAGACAGGACTTGAGTCAAATATTACCAACAACAAAAGTACCACAGCGTTACAGTCTGTTTATTCTTAAATCTACTATTACCCAGCATCTACCAGAAGGGAAGCAAGTTTGACATATCCAGGCTTTCTTTGTCCTAAATCTAATCAGTAAAATAATGGGCAGTGGTTTTCAACTTTCTCTAGGTTTTCTTAATTAGGCTCTGTGTGGACTCCCGATTTGACGTTTCATCTGCACAAAATGGACCAATCAAAGGCCGTCTATTCCAGTCAAGAGGAAAAGTTTGTTATAAAGGAGAACTATGAAGAATATAAAGAAAACAATACAACAAAAAGCTCTGCTGCTGTGAAAGGAATGAGGAACGCTAGTAGAAATCTGTTGATCGTGTAAACTAATGCATGTATTTTATGACTCTCTTTTCTAACATGAGAGCTGCACAACAGAGATCTTAACCTTTAAACTTCATAACATTTTCTTCTCTGTGTTCTATTATCTGCAAATCAGGACCAAACATAAAAACACTTGAGCATTGTTTGCATCACCAACTGAGTGCATATAGGTTCCCGTGGCAACGCAATGCATACAATTTTGATGCTACTCCATTTGCATATGTGACGTATTCCCTCATCTAAGAATATGAATCGCTCAGACTGAATACCGTCAGGTAAAGAACTGGCAAAGCGGTGGTCGAGTTACATCCCAAACTCTACATAAAAACCTCCAACATGGTGATCAAGTTAAAAGACAGCCACCTTCATGAGATTGAAAACTCTGACTTGGGGCTCAGTATACCTCACTAACCCAACAACATTGCTTCATAGCGCAACCCTAGGCTCAGCTCAAGGACGCACTGGCATCCAGACAGGAGGATCAAAAGCCCACTCGAGCTGCCACAGAGGTTCCTGTTCTTACACATCTTTAGCCCATTGGAAAAATATATATATGTCTGCCTTAAAGTAAAAAAAATATATATAAACTCACCTCATTGGTGGCCTCTGAAGTGTTTGCCTTTCCCTGGTCTAGGGTGCCTTTCCATTTCCTAAAGCCAACACAGAGAGTCTTGATCATATGCATAGTTTTGTGTCATTTTCATTAAAGATCAGACATTCAGACATATTAAAACACTTTGCTGTGAATAATAAGTGTGGATAATGTATTTTTTTTACAGAATGTGAAATTTACTTTTGCTCCTCCTCTCTGAAATAAATATCCAGGTTTTCTCAAGTATGCACATGTTGTTTATTTCAAAGGTTTGACTGCTATGCTCATTAAAAAATACACATATACACTGACATTTGAGGGTTTTAACTGCATACCGAACACAAGTTGCATATCAGACTCGATTGGCTTCTGTAGTTGTTGTGCATCTCATACACATCTCAAACTCAAGGTGAGCATTTAGAAATAATATTCTGTCATTTGAACCTGTGTTTTTAGTGTTGAACTCACTTTGAAGCTCAAACATCCACAAACAACTGAACAAGCAAACTGTCTCTTTTACAGTGTTCAAGGCTTGCTATTGGTTGCCAGTTAATGTTTGAGTCAAACCTCAAAACGCGCCTCTGCTTCGTAACCAGTTTCTCAAAATGTCTGTCAACAGAGTGTTAGCTGCCTGTTCTCACCTCCACAAGAATATCAGCAGTGGGACGCAAATCAGCAGCATTATCAGCAGTCCCACTGCGATGCCGATGCCCAGAGACGGGCCGTCGATGCCTGCAAACGTTCACACAAACCACCATCGGTCAGTAAAAGCCAACAGAAAAGCTGAACATAAATGCAGCATCTGTCAGACTCCTCTACCTAGCTGGGTTTCACTGGCGGACACGTTGAAAGCAACGCTGTCCCCGCCCAGTGGGTTGGCACTGACGCACACTAGAGAGGGCGTGGCATCCCCCAGACGGTGCAGGGTGATGAGGCTCCTCGTGATCATGCTCCCCAGAGTCAGCACCCGGACCGAGATGTCGGAGGAGCGATTGACGGGCTCCCCAGCCAGCTCCCAAACCAGGGAGGGAGGTGGGTTCCCCTGGCTGTCGCAGGCACATCGGACCTGGGATAAAATCTTGACGCAGCTAGAAGAAGGCAGGATCTGTGCAGCAACTGAGGCAGAGAATTTGTTATTTGTGAAGGCTTGGTCACAGCCTTGGAGAGAGGAAAAGCATACAAATAATAATAATAATAATAATAAAACAACAAATCTTACATGTGATATTTAAACTGGTCGGCTCAGAACTCTCGGTTCCGTGGACATTCTGAGCTTCACAGTAGTACTGAGCCTCTGAGAGTTTGGTCGCGTTAAAGGTGAAGTTTGACCCAGTGCCGACCACCTCCTCCTCTCCTCCGTCGACTCTGAACCAGGTGAAGTTGACCACTGCTGGATTGGCGATGGTTGCGCAGGTCAGAGTCACCGAGCTGCCCTCCTGCAGCGGACCGGAGATGTCAGAGGACATCGAGGTGTTCTTTGGGGGATCTGAAAGAAACCAGTCTTCCTGTTATTGCTGCTTCTTATTTGTGTGGAACGCAGATTTAACCTTTGAAAAACATAAAATCTTTGGATTGCTTGTGGCTGTAGATATGAATCATTTCTTGCTTTCCTTTAATGTCATAATTTTATGATATAATTTATAGTCTTTTTTTTATTTTAATCAACAGACTAAAACAGTTTTTTTGTGATGAGACTGCTGCAGGAACCATAACACTCCCAGTTTACATTCTAACAAATGCTCTTTTGCACTTTTAATAGAGCATTTATTTTATTACTATTTTATAATTTATGTCACCTTTTAACAATATTAGCTGCTACAAAGATGATGCCAAACTAAATTTTGTTGTATTTTTGTACAATGACAATAAAGCTTCTTCTTCTAATTTGCCATACAGCAAAAACATCCATCCATCCATTTTCTATACACCACTTAATTCTCACTCGGGTCACGGGGGGCTGGAGTCTATCCCAGCTGACTCAGGGTGAAGGCAGGAGACACCCTGGACAGGTCACCAGTCTATCACAGGGCTACACTTAGAGACAGACAACCAAGCACACTCACATTCACACCTACGGACAATTTAGAATCACCAATGAACCTCAACATGTTTTTGGACCTTGTGGTAGGAAGCCGGAGAACCCGGAGAGAACCCACGCTGCACGGGGAGAACATGCAAACTCCACGAAGAAAGATCCCGGGTGTCCTCACCAGGATGCGAACCGGCGACCTTCTTGCTGCGAGTCAACGATGCTAACCACCGTCCACCTTGCAGCCCACAGCAAAAACCAAATGTTTGTTTTCAAATTAATATAATTTTCACATTTTCCTTTTTTTGTTGACTTTAAAATGAAACAAATGCTCTGTTTTTATTGCCAGTTTATGG